TAACACAAAAATATTAAGTAGCACTTTTTTCTTTATTATTTGGAGAATAGAAAGTTCAAAAAACAATTTAATTGAAAATGAAATCTTTTGGAAACTTATAAATGTCTTTAATTGTCATTTTTGATAAACTGAATGATTCTTTGCTGAAATATAATATAATTTTGTAGTATAAAAAAAATATTAAAAGTACTATTTTCTTTAGAAATAGTTTTACGTCTTATATATAGAGAAACATATATTTCTTATTTCATAATGCACATTTTTGATAAATATTTATAATAGTATGTAGTAGGGCTGTGCGATAATTGAAGAAAAATGCGATATGCGATAAAAAAAATAAAGGATGAAAACGTTATTTTCTAGGCCTGACACTGTGTGTGTGTGTGTGTGTGTGTGTGTGTGTGTGTGTGTGTGTTGTGTACAATGTTCACTAAGGCTGCATTTATTTGATCAAAAATAAGTAAAACTAAAATAAATAATAGAATTGTGAAATATTATAACTGTTTTCTATTGGAATATATTTTAAATTGTGATTTAGTCCTGCTGTGTGTCAAAGTTGTGTTTTTAAATCATTCTTTATTTGGAAATCATGTTTATTTGGTGCTCAAGAAACATTTCTTATTATTGTCAGTGTTGAAAATAGCTGTATCATGGTTTACACAAAAATATTAAGTAGCACTTTTTTCTTTATTATTTGGAGAATAGAAAGTTCAAAAAACAATTTAATTGAAAATGAAATCTTTTGGAAACTTATAAATGTCTTTAATTGTCATTTTTGATAAACTGAATGATTCTTTGCTGAAATATAATATAATTTTGTAGTATAAAAAAAATATTAAAAGTACTATTTTCTTTAGAAATAGTTTTACGTCTTATATATAGAGAAACATATATTTCTTATTTCATAATGCACATTTTTGATAAATATTTATAATAGTATGTAGTAGGGCTGTGCGATAATTGAAGAAAAATGCGATATGCGATAAAAAAAATAAAGGATGAAAACGTTATTTTCTAGGCCTGACACTGTGTGTGTGTGTGTTGTGTACAATGTTCACCAAGGCTGCATTTATTTGATCAAAAATAAGTAAAACTGAAATAAATAATAGAATTGTGAAATATTATAACTGTTTTCTATTTGAATATATTTTAAATTGTGATTTAGTCCTGCTGTGTGTCAAAGTTGTGTTTTTAGTAGGGATGCACCGATATGAACATTTTGGCCGATACCGATAATTCTTTATTTTTGAAAGCCGATAACCGATATGTTGGCCGATAAATCTATATCCAAATTTTTATATACTTTTTGAGAGCCTGATTACAAAAAAGGTCTCATCATTAAAAGCCACATCCCAAACACTTCAACATAAGCAGCCTAGTTTGAACGGTGTACGTTTTACAAATAATTTTACTCTCCCATTACCAAATTTAGTCATAAAAAAGTCTTACAAATAAATAAAATAATGCATAAATAATGCAAACAAGTCACTGGACATCATTACACGTGTAAAGAATCAAAATGAATGCGCCATAGATCAATAAAACAGAATAGCCTCTGCACGGACAATAATTAAATGATTTTAATTACTAAACCATATTGTTGATGAAAATAATAAGAGAAAAATAAAAGTGGTTGTTATTATTAATAATGTATCAATGATTTTGAAAAAGTAACAAATTAATACCACTGTTTTAAATAGCAGCCGTTTGAGCTGCGCGTGCTGAAGCTGAAGAGCTGAATGAACACGGTAAACTGAAGCGTTTTGCTGGCAGCTTATTTAACTCAAGGAAATGCATCCTGAGATTAATATTAATACAACATAAACATAATATTACAACTTATATATGTACAAAATGACGCAGTTATTGCGTGCTATAGTCAGAATGTGTGATCCTGTTGTGGATGCGCTCTTCCCATAACAACGCGCTGAAACACAGCAACTAAACCCAAAGAATTCACAACGTTTTATTATAATAATGTTCTCATTAGAATGTTATATACACGACATTCCCAATCATAGTTATTAATGTTGTGCACTGCTGTTTGAGCTGCGTGCGCTGAGCTAAAGATGATCACCGGTAAACTGAAGCACTCTTTTAACTTAACCAAACGCATTCTATATGAGATAAATCAGATATACATCAAATAAACACAATATTACAACGTACAATTGCACAAAAGGCTGCAAACGAACAGCGCGCATCTGAAGTGTCTCTGAAGGAAATAATGCATTATTTATCGGCTTTAAGATATCAGCCAAATTTTCTTATCGGGCCGATACCGATAACAGAAAAAATGAGCATTTATCGGCCGATACCGATATGGTGGCCGATATATCGTGCATCCCTAGTTTTTAGCAGCCGTTGCTCTGTCACATGATTCTTTAGAAATCATTCTTTATTTGGAAATCATGTTTATTTGGTGCTCAAGAAACATTTCTTATTATTGTCAGTGTTGAAAATAGTTGTATCATGGTTTACACAAAAATATTAAGTAGCACTTTTTTCTTTATTTTTTTGGAGAATTGAAAGTTCGAAAAACAATTTAATTGAAAATGAAATCTTTTGTAAAATTATAAATGTCTTTATTGTCATTTTTGATAAACCGAATGATTCTTTGCTGAAATATAATATTATAATTTTGTAGTATAAAATAATATTAAAAGTAATATTTTCTTTAGAAATAGTTTTACGCCCTATATATAGAGAAAAAATATATTTCTTATTTCATAATGCATGTTTTTGATCAATATTTATAATAGTATGTAGACAGTTTTATTATATTTTTTGAATCAACTTGGACATTTTTATGTTATTGACCCATATACTATGCTACGTGATGATATTACCATCTGGTACTGCCACAGTACTTTACTGTAAGAGACTGTTAAGAAGACATGGTTATTGCTCAATTTGGGTTAAGTAAACGTGTTACCATTTGTCAAGGAAGTGTCTCGATAATCTGCAGAGTGAAAGAAGCCTAGTGTGAATCCTGGCGGAAATTCAGTTGCTCTAAATGTATGATATTTATGCTTCATCCTTGATAACAGGTCATTAAACCCGCTGGGTAAAGCTGTGTAGTGCATAAAATAGCGTTAGGTCTGTTAACTGGAGATTAGGCTTGTTTTGGGGGATTTTTGAATGACTTTGGACACCTGTGGTCTCTACGGAAAAGAACAGGAAAGAGGTGACAAAAATCTCAGGAAATAAGCTAACAGATGCCGACAGGATGCACAGCATATTTTGTTGATGAAATACACAGATTTGCTTTAGAAGAGAAGCACTTTTTTTGTGGTTGAGAAATATGTAAATGTTTTTTTTAGAATGATAATGATCTTGTGCCTTTACTATGAAATATTTCTTTAACCCTTTGTAGGAAAGATGCGTGCTGTGCGGCGATCCCTGTTCCCGCAGTCCTCTGCCCTGGGCAGTGGGGTTCTTTGGGAGTGGGCCAATGATGAAGGAGGGTGGACGGCGTATGAGATCCGAACCTCCATTCTGCTGGAGCACAGCTACCAGGCAGGGCAGGCCACAGCTGACCTGAGCCCACACGGCTACAACTACATTGTGGACCTCACTGCTCTACAGCAAGTCAACAAGGCCACCAGCTACAGACGACATGTCAGGCGGCAAGGCAGCGTGCCATATCCTCTCGCCTCCGGTTCGGTTATTCACTCGGGCCCGGCCTGTTCCTGTCACCAATGTTTGAGCAATAGCAGCGCCGCCGGACCCATGCTGAGCCGGTCACGGCATTCCTTTACCGTGGGGCAGGCCAACGGGCCCAGCCTCCAGACCCAGCATGGACGACTTCCTGGAACCAGCTCTTCTTCAGCCTACTCGCCCTACCCCAGAAGACCTCTCTCGATGGGAAGCTTGTTATGGAACGGCCCGTGGAGTACCCCCACCTCTGTGGCTCATCCTTCAGGACCACCACAGGCTTTTGGTCACCATGCAAATGGCTTAAGGTAAGACTAAAAGGCCTAGTTCAGAAGTAGAAAAAATGCAAGTTATCCCTCATTTCATATTTTCTATATATTTCATATCATATATATATTACCATGTTGATACCTTCACTGTATCATGGAAGCACCATAGGATTTGTAAGGGAAAGAGACTTATTTTAGTCATAATTTCAAGGACTCTGCACAAGCATGGAAGACCTCCCACAGAGAGTGGTTTAAAAATACTCAACCGGCTTTTAGTCGTGATAAGAAAACAAGATGTTTGACCTGCAGAGTTTCAAATGACACCAAAGGTCTAAAGGTTTTATTACATCAGCTACTGAGCTCTTCTCCTTCCTGTCATTGTGTCTGTCCTCTTGTGTACTTTGTAGTAGTAGGCTAAGTCATTCTGTGTCATTCTGACTCCATTTGTTGCATAATTTTGATTACTACAAAAACTAATTTGGATATGTTCATTAGTTTAAAAAAGGCAGGAAAAACTGTGGCAGCACTTTATTTTATAGATCTTTCTGTAGATAGTATGTACTTGCTATGCAATTACTAGGGATGGGACGATACACCTACCTACCTCCCGATTCGATACTATCACGATACTTGGGTGCCGATACGATATGTATTGCGATTTTTTTTTTTTTAAGAATTTCGATTCTACAAGTATTGCGATTCGATATTGCTATGTGTTGCTTTTTTGTTTTTAACTCTAGACCATGGGAAAAAGTTGAAATACTTGATTATACCCTTAAAAGAGACTGTATATGATGAGTCATATTACCAAAAACAATGCATCACATCTTTCTGAACTTTTATTTCAGGAGCATACACATACACAGTGTATATATTTAAAGTACCTTGACCATGAAACTTTCAAGTACCAAAACCCTGAACTTGCACATGAATATAATAGTCAAATGTTCAACAAAATGAGTAGAAAAAATACTTTCTGAAATAAAATAATAATTAATTTAATAATAATAATTTATGCATTTAGCTGACGGTTTTATCCAAAGCGACTTACATACAGGCTATACATTTTTACCAGTATGTGTGTTCCCTGGGAATTAGGGCTGGGTATCGGTTCAGATGTCCCGATTCGATTCGATTTCGATTCGCAAGCTCTCGATTCGATTCGATTCTCGATTTTTTTATTACATTCAGTGAATATAGTTTTAATACAAATGCTATTGATATTTCTAAAAAATGAACAGTAAACATCAGTTTACAAATTGTGAATTAATAAAGAAATTAAGCCACATGCCTGTATTTTAAACCTATACTTTTTGCGAATCACGCGTATGGCCATGATAAGCGCTGAATGAATGACAGGCTTTCTGTTGTAACATCGCGCAAGGTAAATAAGGGTGACATCTAGTGGAGAAGACTAATGATAAGATTCACGTTAATCAGATCTTATTTTAAATGTGTGCTGAAATAAATCCTGGAAAAGATCGATTCGCGGCTTTTGATAATCGATATCGAATCAACGTCATAAAAAAAAAACGATTAATCGAAAAATCTTTTTTTTTTGGCGAGCCCTAGAATTGAACCCACGACCTTTTGTGCTGCTAATGCAATGTTCTACCACTGAGCCACAGGAACACTATAAAATAAAAATGTTAAATATAATAGTGTTATAAATAAACATTACAAAATAAAGTGCTATGTTACTTTGCATAACGTTTTAGTCATGTTTTCCCGGCAGTGTGTAAAATCCAAAGTGTTTCCACACTTGGGATTCAAAAAGTGAAGGTGCAGAAAGAATTCTCGAAGTGGTTTGATCCTCTGCCTCCATCATGGTTTTGCTTTCTCGCGCCGGCTTGAAACGTATACGACATCATCTAATACAGCGGCGCTGAGCACGCAGAACAATTGTTGTATGAAGTCATCAAAGCACCGCGAGAGCTACAGAGA